AGCAACCTCTCAGACTGCAATGGTATAAAATTAGAAATTATACAAAGAAAACAAAAAAGCCTACAAACACGTGAAGGCTAAACAACATGCTTCTAAATAATCACTGGGATCAATGACCAAATTAAAACAGCAATCAAGCAATACATGGAGACAAATGAAAACAAAAATACAACAGTCCAATGTTTGTGGGATACCACCAAGGCCATTCAGAGAGAGAAGTACATAACAATACAGGCCTACATCAAAAAACAAGAAAAATCCCAAATAAACAGTCTAAACTCACAAACTAGAAAACAAAGAACAAATGAAACCCAAAGTTAGTAGAAGGAGGGAAATAATGAAGATCAGGGAAGAAATAAATAAAATAGAGAATAAAACAACAGAAAAGTCTAACAAAACCAAGAGACCAGCTGGTTCTTTGAGAAAATAAACAGAACACCTACCTAGCCAGAGTTATCAAAAAAGAGAGAGAGGACACAAATAAACAAAATCAGAAATGATAAAGGAATAGTCACAAGAAATACCACATAAATACAAAGAATTAAGAGAGAATTCTATGAAAAGTTATGTGCCAACAAATTGGACAACCTAGAAGAAATGGATCAATTCCTAGAATAATACAACCTTCCAATACTGACCCAGGAAGAAACAGAAAATCTGAACAGACCAATTACTAGCAATGAAATTGAACTGGTAATCAAAAAACTCCCAACAAACAAAATCCAGAGCCAGATGGCTTCACTGATGAATTCTACCAAACATTTAAAGAAGAGCTAATACTCATCCTTCTTAAAGTATTCCAAAAAGCAGAGGAGGAGGGAATATTTCCAAACTTTTTCTATGAGGCCAGCATCACCCTAATACCAAAAGAAAACAAACTACAAAAATAGGAACTTTTAGACAAGTACCCCTGACGAACATAGATGCAAAAATCCCCAACAAAATATTAGCAAACACAATTCAAAAATACATTAAAAGGATCATCCATCACGACCAAGTAGGATTTATTCAAGGGATGCAAGGATGGCAAAATATCCCTAAGTCAATCTCATCATATACCACATGAACTAAAAGAAGGACAAAAATCACTTGATCATCTCCACAGATACTGAAAAAGCATTTGACAAAATTCAACATCCATTCATGATAAAAACTCTGAACAAAATGTGTACAGAGGGTACGTACATCAACATAATAAAGGCCATATGTGACAAATCCACAGCCAACATTATACTCAATGGCGAAAAGCTGAAACGTTTCCTCTAAGATCAGGAACAAGACAAGGATGTCCATTCTCACCACTTTTATTCAATATAGTACTGGAGGTCCTAGCCATGGCAATCACACAAGATAAAAAGATAAAAGGCAACCATATTGTTAAGGAGGAAGTTAAATTGTCACTATTTGCAGATGACATGATATACATAGAAAACCCTACATAGAAGACTCCACCAAAAAAACTATTAGAATAACTGAATTCAGCAAAACTGTAGGATACAAAATTAATAGAGAGCAATCTGTTACATTCCTACATACTAATAGTGGAGTAGCAGAAAGAGAAATCAGAAAAATATTTTCATTTACAACTGCATCAAAAAGAATACAATACCTAGGAATAAACCTAACAAAGGAGGTTGAAGACCTGTACTCTGAAACCTATAAAACATTCATGAGAGAAATTGAAGAAGACAGAAACAGATGGAAATCTATCCCATGCTTATGGACAGGAAAAATAATATTGTCAAAATGGCCACCTTGCCCAAAGCAATTTATAGATTCAGTGCAATCCCCATCAAAATACCAACAGTATTCTTTAATGCACTATAGCAAATGATCCTAATATTCATATGGAACCACAAAAGGCCCCAATGAACCAAAGCAGTCCTGAGAAAAAAGAACAAAGCTGAGAGTATTACTCCTAAGTTTAAGCTATACTACAAAGCTGCCGTAATCAAAACAGTATGGTACTACCACAAGAACAGACACATAGATCAAAGAAACAGAGAGCCCAGATATAAACCCACACATATATGGTTCATTAATATACAGTAATCATATACTATATATTATGCCATGCACATTCAATGGGGAAAAGACAGCCTCTTCAATAACTGGTGTTGGGAAAACTGGACAGCTACATGCAAGAGAATGAAATTGGATTACTGTCTAACTCCATACACAAAAGTAAACTAGAAATGGATCAAAGACTTGAATGTAAGACATGAAACCATAAAACTCTTAGAAGAAAACATAGGCAAAAATTTATTCCTGGACACGTCTCCTTGGGTAAGGGAAACAAAATAAATGAACATTGTGACTACATCAAACTAAAAAGCTTCTGTACAGAAAAGGACATCATCAGCAGAACAAAAAAGGCAACCTACAGTATGGGAGAATATATTCATAAGTGAGTTATCCAGTAAGGGGTTAACATCCAAAGTATATAAAGAGCTGTTATGCCCCAACAAAAAAAAAGCAAATACCCAATTAAAAAATGGATGGAGGACCTGAACAGACATTTCTCCAAAGAAGACACACAGATGGCCAACAGGTACATGAAAAGATGCTCCATGTCAATAATTATCAGAGAAATGAGAATCAAAACCACAGTGAGATACATCACACCAGTTAGAACAGCCAATATCCAAAAGACAAGAAACAACAAGTGTTGTCAAGGATGTGGAGAAATGGACCCTTTTATACTCCTGGTGAGACTGAATTGGTGTAGCTGCTGTGGAAAGCAGTATGGGGGTTCCTCAAAAATCTAAAAATAGGTATACCATTTGACTCAGCAATTCTACTTCTAAACAAATCAAAAATCGCTGATTCAAAAAGACATATGCACTCCTATGTTTACTGCCACATTATTTATAATTGCTAAGACACACAAGTATCCTAAGTGTCCATCATTAGATGAATGAATAAAGAAGATGTGGTATACATACACAATGGAATATTACACAGCCATAAATAAAAAAGAAAGTCTGCCATTTGCAACAATATGGATGGATCTAGAAGGTATTACACTCAGTGAAATAAGCAGGCAGAGAAAAACAAATACCATATGATTTCACTTATTTGTGGACTATAAAAACAAAGCAACACAGAAGCAACAATATAGCAGTGAACTCACAGACACTGAGAAATAACAAGTGGTTACCATGGAGGCGTGATTAGGATGGGTAGGTGGAGAGTGTGAGGGGGCTAGAGGGCACAAACATTCTCAGTCCTACTATATATTGGCCTTGGGGATAGTAGTACAGAATGAAGAATACGGTCAATGGTTCCATAAGATCTTTCTATGTTGACAGATAGTAACTGCACCAGTGGTAGTGAGGATTTAATATTATGGGTAACCGATGAACCACTCTGTTGTATACTTGAAACCAATAGAAGATTATATATCAACATACTTCAATAAAGAAATTTTAAAGAACTAAAAAAATATATTGGGAAAAAAGACCTCAATGACAATAGCACAAAACACATGAGGGATCAGGAAATAACAAAAATAGGAAATTATACAATTTATATTTGGGTAACTATACAACTTTAGTAGGAGCTAGAGGAAGTCATGCATAAAAAAACATATTGTATTTTTGGCTAAGAAGATAAATTTTTATAAATACATCAATTCTTTCCTCAAATTAATATACAGTTCAGGGCATTAAAAATAAAAATCCAAAGGATTTTGGACAGGGTGGAACTTAACAAAGTTACTCTAAAAATCATCTTAAAAAATTAATGAGCAAAAATAACAAAAACAGCTGAATAATGCTGGGCTGGCCTTACCACATATCATAATCAATTAAAAAAATCTAAAGTTATTAGAAGAGTGTTACAGTTCTAGTAACAGAAATCTCTAAGTAAAACAGAACAGAGAGCCCAAATGCAGAATCTAAAATCCATAATATTCTAAATTTTAATGTAAAACAAAGAAAGCATTCTAAGCTTATAGAGAATGGAAAAGACTTGTCATACAGAAAACCTTTTTAATCAATTTGATTTTCATCACTGTATCACCACCCACTCGTGATAAAGAGTATACAGGGAGTAAGTGTTCTTCTCTGGGCTTTAGGTCATCTTGTATCAATCTTAGAAGTTAACTCTTTTGTCTATATAAAGGATCATTATGGCTCATTATTGCCATTACCCCTTTTATCTTCTGCCTGCTCACTTTTGCAGACTTGTGGTTGATTCTAATCCTTTGGTAAAGTCTCTTTGTTTATTGAAACTAAGCTGTGGTGCCCAAAGGTGGTTCCCAGACCATATCTGCATTACATGGAACATGTCAGAAATGCAACTTCTCAGGCCTCACCCCTCACATACCAAATCAGAAAGTTTGAGGGGGGAGCCTAGCAATCTGTGTTTTAACACATCCTCTAGGTGATTCTGATACACACCCAAGTTTGAGAAATAATGATCTAAGCAAACATGTCGCATGACAGAAGTACCATCTGAACTTCGAAGACTTCAGAATGATATCAAGTTCCTACAGCAATTGCTGTCCTATTACTCATAAGACACTGAATGAGTTATTTGTATACCTTTCACCCCAACTAGACAGTAAATCTCTGGAGGAAGGAGCTGTCTTATTTGTATTATGGTCATAGTATACAACACAGTATCTTCTATACTGAAATGATCAATGTGTTCAATGCCAATCTTTCTGTAAATTTCTTTAAGACACTAAATATGTTCTTATTGTCTTAACTCTTTAGAAACTAGTTTACCCCCATGTTTCCTCTCATGTTATTTAATATGGTGTTGAATTACAAACAGGCTTATAATAACATGGTTACGATACAGTGACATACAAACTGGTAGAATTTTAGTACAGAAAAGCATTGCTAAGTACCGTTCATAAAATATGAACTCTTATTAAATTAAATGAAAAGTTGTACTAAATTGTTAAAAACACAAAAATTGGAATTTTTGCAAAACAGGGAGATTTTTCAAGACAAATTCTTTTCAGTCTTTCTGTTTTAAAGTATATTTACCTGAGGTGTGGCTCTGTGGTCAATTAGATTCTCAGTAAGAGATAAAAGCAAGGCATCCAATTCATCTGCAGCATCCTATGGAAGATAAAATATATACAGTTGTTAAATGAGCCATTAGCTATAACATTGATTTTTTTTCCCATGTCCCCTCAATTGATGATTCTAACCCAGGCCTAGCTGTATTAAACTTTAACAAACAGGAACATGCAGGAATCAGTTATGGTGACTACCCTTCTGCTTGGAGGAGAGCCCAGACTACAATCAGAACTTGAATAAGTTATGGTATTATGTAAATTCATAAACCTTGTTTTTTTAAATTTTTCATTAAGGTATGATTGATATACACTCTTATGAAGGTTTCACATGAAAAAACAATGTGGTTACGACATTTACCCATATTATGAAGTCCCCACCCATACCCCAATGCAGTCACTGTCCAGCAGTGTAGTAAGATGCCACAGATCCACTATGTGCCTTCTCTGTGCTACATTGTTCTCCCCATGATCCCCCACACCATGTGTACTAAACATAATACCCCTCAATCCCCTTCTCCCTCCCTCCCCACCGGCCTTCCCACACTCCTCCCCTTTGGTAACCACTAATTCCTTCTTGGAGTCTCTGAGTCTGCTGGCATTTTGTTCCTTCAGTTTTTCTTCATTGTTATACTCCACAAATGAGGGAAATGATTTGGCATTTGTCTTTCTCTGCCTGGTTTATTTCACTGAGTATAATGTCCTCCAGCTCAATCCATGTTGTTGCAAATGGTAGGATTTGTTTCTTTCTTATGGCTGAAGAGTATTCCACTGTGTATATGTACCACATCTTCTTTATCCACTCATCTACTGATGGACACTTAGGTTGCTTCCATATCTTGGCTATTATAAAAAGTGCTGCAAAAAAAATAGGGGTACATATGTCTTTTTGAATCTGAGAACTTATATTCTTAGGGTTAAATTCCAAGGAGTGGGATTCCTGGGTCAAATGGTATTTCTATTTTTAGTTTTTTGAGGAACCTCCATATTGCTTTCCACAACGGTTGAACTAGCTTGCACTCCCACCAGCAGTGTAGGAGGGTTCCCCTTTCTCGACATTCTCCCCAGCATTTGTTGTTCTTAGTCTTTTTGATGGTGGTGATCCTTACTGGTGTGAGGTGATATCTCATTGTGGTTTTAATTTGCATTTCCCTGATGATTAGTGATGTGGAGCATCTTTTCATGCGTCTGTTGGCCATATGAATTTCTTCTTTGGAGAACTGTCTCTTCATATCCTCTGCCCATTTTTTAATCAGGTTATTTGCTTTTTGGGTGTTGAGGCATGTAAGTTCTTTATATATTTTGGATGTTAACCCCTTGTCAGATAGTTATTTACAAATATATTCTCCCATACTGTAGGATGCATTTTTGTTTTCCTTTGCTGTACAAAAACTTTTTAGTTTGATGTTGAAACCTTGAGTTCATTTTTGCTTTTGTTTCCCTTTGTCAAGGAGATGCGTTCAGGAAGAAGTTGCTCATGCTTATATTCAGGAGATGTTTGCCTATGTTGTCTTCTAAGAGTTTTATAGTTTCATGACTTACATTCTAGTCTTTGATTCATTTTGAGTTTACTTTTGTGTATGGGGTTAAACAATAATCCAGTTTCATTCTCTTGCATGTAGCTGTCCAGTTTTGCCAACACCAGCTGTTGAAGAGGCTGTCATTTGCCCACTGTATGTCCATGACTCCTTTATCATATATTAATTGACCATATATGGTTGGGTTTATATCAGGGCTCTCTAGTCTGTTCCGTTGGTCTATGGATCTGTTCTTGTGCCAGTACCAAATTGTCTTGATTACTGTGGCTTTGTAGTAGAGCTTGAAGTCCAGGAGCGTAGTTCCCCTTGCTTTATTCTTCCTTCTCAGGAGTACTTTCGCTTTTCGAGGTCTTTTGTGGTTCCATATGAATTTTAGGATGATTTTCTCTAGTTCGTTGAAGAATGCTGTTGGTATTTTGATAGGAATTGCATTGAATCTATAGATTGCTTTAGGCAGGATGGCCATGTTGACAATATTAATTCTTCCTATCCATGAGCATGGGATCTTTTTCCTTTTATTGATATCTTCTTTAATTTCTCTCATGAGTGTCTTGTAGTTTTCAGAGTATAGGTCTTTCATTTCCTTGGTTAGTTTTATTCCTAGGTATTTTACTCTTTTTGATGCAATTGTGAATGGAATTATTTTCCTGATTTCTCTTTCTGCTAGTTCATTGTTAATGTATAGGAATGTTACAGATTTCTGTGTATTAATTTTGTATCATGCAACTTTGCTGAATTCAGATATTAGATCTAGTAGTTTTGGAGTGGGTTCTTTAGGGTTTTTTATGTACAATATCATGTCATATGCAAACAGGGACAGTTTAACTTCTTCATTACCAACCTGGATGCCTTTTATTTCTGTGTGTTGTCTGATTGCTGTGGCTAGGACCTCCAGTACTATGTTGAATAGAAGTGGGGAAAGTGGGCATCCTTGTCTTGTTCCTGATCTTAAAGGAAAAGCTTTCAGCTTCTCGCTGTTAAGTATGATGTTGGCTGTGGGTTTGTCATATATGGCCTTTATTATGTAGAGGTACTTGCCCTCTATGCCCATTTTGTTGAGTTTTTATCATGAATGGATGTTGAATTTTGTCAAATGCTTTTTCAGCATCTATGGAGATGATTATGTGGTTTTGTCCTTCTTTTTGTTGATGTCATAAACCTCTTCTTTTTGGTGAGACAAAATGAAAGAAGTGGGTAACGTTAAGATTGTTCTGGCTCATAGCTTGTCCACTAGAGGAGAGGGAAGATTCAGCACAGGAGAGAGTAAAGGAGATGTCTAAATTCCAAAGGTGTCTTTATCCAGATGTGTGGGTGCTTCACTGTTTATAAAAGAGCACATTATGACCTTACCCTCAATAATGTTAATCAACACTTTTAATTTAATTAGTATTTGAAACACCTCATACAAAATGCAGTTCTGGACTACAGAGAGCAGGGAAAGTTTGTGGGGGTAGAAAGAATTTAAAAAGAATAAAAGATAAATTCTAATCTGGAAATATGAGAAATAAGTATCTAGGGTGTAGTACACAATAAAAGGATAACAAAGAGGCCTTTTATTTCTATTATTCTTTTTTATCCATCTGCCATCAGACTACAGTGAATCTCCTGTTCCTGCTTCAACATTCAACTTTATTTTAGTCACATAGATGAAAAAACTGTTCTCTCTCTTCTCCCATCACCATCTTCCCATCTTCCTCCTATCCTTACCCTCCCACCCTACAGCCTGGATACATGCCCCAAAACAGCATGTATATACCTCTACCACAATGTATTAAAATGCTTCCTCCCAGTGGATTATGAGCAGTTTGAAAGAAGAGGCCGTATTTCATTCTTTTTTGAGTTTTCAAAGCCTACCATTCTGTCTGGTACATATTATATAAGCAATAAATCTTGGAACTAAATGTCCTTCTCTGTTGAAAAAAATCTCAGATACTTAACAATTTTCAGTGATCAAAGAAGTCAATATATCATTTTAGATTTTAATTAGTAGAAAGGACACTCCTGATTGAAGGTCCTTTTAGGTTGGGTTTTTTTTTTACCCAAAAGTCTGAAAAATACACAGTTAAATATAAACTACACAGTATTTGGGTAGTGGAAACACAGGTAGGTGATTTATAGTATTTTTCTTTTTATGAACTATTTGGTAAATTTCCACAATAAATGTGCTTATGTAATAAAAGAGCTACATGGCAAATGTTCATTTGAAGGATAATTTTTCATTTAACCTTCAAATTAAAACATTCACTGGGCAATGGACTGGGTTACTATGACTTCTAAACTAGTAAGGGTGGGGCAAACACATACAGGAAAGACCAGATTGCAATGAACTGATTATACTGCAAGACAACAATAGGTTGTTTCAGAAAGTTTGTTTCAATCAGTCAATATTTACTTAGTGCCTACTATGTGCCATGTACTACTACATGAGACACTAGGGAAGCATAGCCAGCATCCAAAAAAAAAAACAAAACACAAAGACTATCTAAAAACAAAAATACCAACAAGTAACACAAAACTGGAGCAGAAGCCCTGAAACACTCTTGTGAAGGATCCGACTATGGGGTCCTTCCTAGAGAACTGAGGTCAAAGCTTTTCTCATAGCCTGAGTTCTTGTGTCAATTAGAAATTACCAGACATCCATGGTGATACTACAGGACTCAACTCAGCATGGTCTTCGGAGAAACTTTAAAAAGTAAAAGTATTGTTACCTTCAGAACAGAACTATTTTCTGTAGGTGTGGTACACATCAAAGCAAGAAGATCTGAGAGGGGCATATCGTTCTCATTTAATACAGCACTGCGAAGAGAGAGAAATGCATGTCACAGATGAAGTACATAAGCACAGGCCCAGTTTTCAAAGAAAGGGCAGGAAAGAACAAATTATTGAAGGGGAAGAAGAAAATAGTTTGTGAGGAGTGTGACGGCAGAGTTCACTCACATGCCTTTGTGAAACCCCTCTACATGCACCACGTAACAGTCTTCTAATCCAGAGGCCACCTTTCACAGATGGATTAAAATGGTTGATTACTATACTTCCCTCCTAAATCTCACTGACAGGATAGAAAAGATTTATCTTGAAAAGAAAGACAGATAAACAAAAGAGAGATTAGCAGATTTGTTTTTAAAAGTTGTTATCAAATACATGAATGGGAAAGTTCAGTGGAACAGAAATCATAAGAGTATCTGAGAGCAAAACAGTCATGAAACCATATGGAGAAGCCACCATATAAGCCATAATGGCCAAAGAGCTCTGTAGCAGAAGGTGGAAATGACATCAAGAGTGCTCCAAATTGTACAACACAACTAGCTAGGTGAGAGGATGCCAGACAATCTGTGATCTGTAGGCCTGGGGTTAATGACAAGTATGTCTAACCCCAGATAAGAAAAACAATAGGAGCAGTCACAGATGGCTTCAACACCAGAGTAAAGAGAAAAAAATTCATCCACCAAGATAACACATCCAGCAAGAAATCCTAGTCTTCTCCAAAACAACCAAAAATGTGCAAGCAATAGGAGCAGTTCCTGCCCAATTCTACAAGGATTGAGATAAAACATGAAGCAAATCCTAGATTGGAAAAGTCAGATATAGTTAAGTGGAAGCTAGGACTGCTGCGCCCATAGTTCTGGGGCAAATAGAGACAAAAAGACAAAAAATTAGGAAAAATTATGAGCAAAAGAGAAGTGAGCAAGATATTTCAACTAATGGATACCAGATATTCGAAAAGGTAATGGCTTCCAATTTTCCAGAACTGAAAAAAGACATAGGTCTTCATTTGAAAGACCACACTGAATAACAGTAATAAAAAAATAAACCGATTCTTAGACATACAGATGTGAAAATGCAGAACCCCCAAAATGAACAGTAAAACCTAGGTTACCAGAGAGAAAAATAATTCTGTGCTTCAGAAAGAAGAAACAGCTCTAGAGGTAGAAGGTAGAAGAGCGCCTGCTAGATGTTGAGGGGGTAAAGAAGGACTGTGCTGAGGGTGCAAATGGCTATGGCATCTCTTTCAAGGGTCATGACATTTTACGGTATTAGGTAGTGGTAACTTTGTCAATGTCCTAAAACTTTGTCAATGTACTAAAAAGCATGGAATTTGTACTTTTGAAGAGTAAATTTTATGATATAGGAATTACAACTCAATAAGAAAAAAGAAAAGAACCCTAACTGAACTATAGCATATTGTGAAGATGTGGTAAAGCTTAATATTTGGTACACAGACATGTGTTACATAATCTCCATTGTTTTCTCCATGCATGAGACATTTCATTTTTAAAAACGGGATATAATAATTTTTAAAAAGAGTGGTATCACATGGGGAAAAAATAGTTTAGCAGAAAAGGAAAATATCCAAAAACAGAACTATGCTTAAATAAGAACAGCATATTTTAAAGGATGAATTTCAAATCCTGGGGAGGGGAAATAAATTATTCAAAACATCAACATTAATTTAGAAAAATAAATCTGGAAGTAAGTTGGAGTATATTCTAGAGTCTTTCCAGCTTCAAAAGTTAGTGAAATTGGGCAGTTGTATCTCAATCCTCATGGCAAAAAAAAAAAATTTATGAGGTTGTTATTCTAAAAGGCTCTAATAATAACAGTATTAAAAACGTAGGTCAGTTGATTTATGGGTATTAACTAAAAGGTTAAATTGTAATTCCAGTTTTACTCTGTAATCACCAATTACTACATACTGAGTACTAACTGTCAAGTATTCTATACAAAACATGCCATATGCTGAAGTGCTATGTTGATTAGATTACCTGGAACTGAATGGAATTAATCAGAAAACTCTTCACTGAAAAAGTTTGAATAATGGGAAACAGCATTCATTCATTCAACACTTACAGCATGGAGTTAGCACAGAACATTAGACGCAGTGATCAACAGAATAAATTGGCATAAAGCAGGGGATAAAAGCCTGGTAAGACAAATAAACATAGTAATTCTCATTAAAGGAAAAAGAGGAAGAAAGTACCTGGAAAGACCAGTAAAGAAATTTGTTCAAATAATGTGAGAGCCCATAGTTAAGAAAGTTGGTAATAACAAGATCACCGTGATGACAGTATGTTACTGAAATTAACTACCAGGCCCAGGAGAAATAATAGACATCCTCACCAGGCATCCTGTCAGATTAAAAATATCTTTAAAGGTTGCTTCTGCCCTGCAGTTTGAATCAGTTGAAGAAGAACAAAAATGTAGAGAGACTGATTAGGAGTGTCTCCAAATAATCTACACTAGGCACTAAACAGTTCTGCAATGATAGGAGAGTGAATCCAAGCCATTTTTCAAAGAGATATCCTAAAATCATGTGGTGATTGGTTGGGGAGGTAGGAAAAAAGATTAAAAAAAAAAAGTTAAGAGGAAAAGAACCTCCATCTAATTCAATCTGCCCAGAACTATACCTGTTTGGTGTAGCATCCTGAATACTGGCATTTTTATTACTTAATATGCTATCTTCTCTTGCAACCTAAGAAAATAAATTTTTAAAAAAACCATTAAAGTCTTTGTTGAGGATACTAAAGCAACAAGAGATTTACATTTCTTTCCAGTAAAAATAGAAACATCAGTTTGCTTCAGTTACAAAAAGAGGTAATCATTATCTTACCTATGGAAATATCAGTACTGCACCCAAATCTTGTCCAATATCCAAATTAATAATCTATTTTTTTACTTCCGTATATTAGTATACCAATTTACATGCATTATTAGACATTATTTAAGACACCACGGTGTGTTAGACAATATACACAGAATCACACAGAAAACAAATTCAATTTCAGATTTTTAAAAATTTACATGGTAAAAAGAAACAGATGTGAAGTCATTTGGTTTTTTATTTTTCCCTCAACATAAGGAATATTTTAGAAGAGAATTCTAAAAAATTTTCTGAATAGGTCAGTTCTTCCCCCAGCTTTATTGAGGTACCATTTACATACAGTAAAATGCACATATTTTTAATGTATGGTTCAGTGAACTTTGAAAAATATATACAGGTACATACTCAATAATACATTGAACATATTTAACATTTCTACTGCTTCCCAAACATTCACTTGAGGCTTCCAATGCAATCCCATTAAGAACCTTTACACATGGCAAACAATGATCTTTACTTTCTATACTTTCATGTAAATGGAATCTTAATAGCTATCTTTTGTGTTTACCTCTTCAGAGCAGCATGCTATTTCTTGAGACTCACCCATGGTTCTGCATGTATCACGAATTTATTCCTTTGCATGTGCTGAATAGCATTTCACTGTATGGATACAGCACACAGTATCTGTTTACCTGTTGGTGGGCATTTGGGTTGTTTCTAGTTTTTAGTGTCTATACATAAAGTAGCTAATAACATTTGTGTACTAATATCTGTATGAACTGTATCTTCATTTCTCTTGGGTCAATACCTACGAGTGGAACTCTTGGTCATATGGTAAATGTATGTTTAATATATTGACAAACTCTTTTCTAAAGTGCTTATAAATTTTATATTCACACCAGCAACATGCACTACAGGAGTTCCATCACTGCCGACACAGGGATGGTCAGCTTTTTATTTTAGCTATTTCAGTGTCTGTTGAATTATGATGTTCACTGTAGATTTTTTTCATAGATGCCCTTATCAGGCTGAAGAAGTTCCATCCTATTCCTAGTTTTCTGTGAGCTTTTACCATGGATTCCCGGGCTAAATTCTGTGAAATGCCTTTTCCACATGAATTGACACAACTAAAAAAATTTTAATATGGTGAGCTAACTGGTCTTTGAATGATAAACCAGCATCTTTCCTGAGATAAACTACCTGGTCATGATGTACTCTCCTTTTTATGTATTGTTGTGTATGATTTGCTTATATTTTGTTAAGGACTTTGAGTCTGTTCAAGAGGGGTATTAGTCTATAGTCTCTTTTCTTGTAACATCTTCTGGTTTGGGTACTGGAGTAATACTAGTCACAGACAATGAGTTAGAAAGTGCTCCCTCCCCTTCTATCTTCTGGAAGAGTTTGTGTGAAGTGTTGTTATTTCTTCCTTAAATGTTGCAGTGGATTGCAACAATGAAAGCAACTGGTTGTGGATTTTTCTTTGTGAGAAAGTTATGACTATAAAACAAAATCTCTTTAATTTAGTATTTCTCTTTTCATCAAAATAATTCAAGTATTTCTCTTTTCATCAAAAACCTAACTGAAATGTAAGGTAATGACAACTATTAGCACCACTGCTCCTCAGGATGTTCCTTCAACATCGGGGGTTTAATGAATGCTTATGTGCCAGGCATTCTTCCATGTCCTTTACATACATTACCTTATTTCATCCTTTTAACTCATCTTAAGGTAGGTGTGACCATTATCCTTTTTTTCAAACATAATTAAACTGAGGCTCAGAGAAGTTAAATAACTTGCCAAGACACAAACTACTACAAGTAGGTAGTAGATTATAAATTGGATTCAAACTCAAGCTGTCTTGATTCCAGAGCCTGTATTGCCATATTTTAGACTTCTTTCGGTATGTAAATATTATGTTTTATGCCTATATATAAAAAGCATGAATATTACTCCTCAAGTCCTCTTGGTTCTCTCCCAGGCTTGTGCCTGGGGTCAGGATGGGTAAAGTGCATCTTTTCAACAACAGGATATTCTGAAATCCTAGTTGCCAACATGAATGATGAGACGGGCTCCTGTCCTGGCTTTGGGATAGAGGATAAGTCTGAAAGTTTGCGAGAGCCAAGGAACTGATTTGAGAGCATGGATGCCACGAACTTCATGAGGGCTGCTCCCTACCCAGTGCATCCTTCATGATGTCAAAACTCTTTCATTCTGTCACTATCACTCTTGTTGCTAAAAAAAAAATCACCATTTTGCCAAACTGGGGAGATTGGTGATAGGGATTATCAATCACCATTGATAAGAAAGACCTAACATAGACTTCACATTGATAGGAATCTAAAATTACTAGATATTCTAGCTATAAAAGTGAAGATTAGAAACACTGTTATAGGAATTTGACTTAAAAAACATTTCTTATACCCTAGAGCATCTTTACTCTTACTTTTTATCCAGTGACTATGACTCTTAATCAGCTTGCATTTAGAGTTAGGAAGACATTTTACCATCTTGAGAACTGTTTCTTGGGACTACTCTCTCATCACTAGCTGGTCACTCTTGTTTGACATTCATGTAGTTTATTCATATATTTCATTTGTTCTTCAGGGTCTTTCGCCTCTAGCCCACGCTCTTTGTCCTTCAACAGGAAGCTTACCTTGTGCACTGCTTCTACTTGAGCCTTCAAAATGTTACTTTTCAAGTCAGGAGGAACTCTCCTGGCATTTAGTCCTGGGCTCTCAATGGCATTGTTAAGACATTTCTCAGTCAACTTCACCACCTCCTCCTAGACATTGAAAACACAGTGTAAGAAACTCTAACAGGCTATAGTTACATGGACATAGGAGAAGGACTGATTGAAGTTCATAGTCAGATGGCCAGAAATCGTGTATAAAGGCTCAATAGTCAACTCCTACATGTACATGCTTGGGATTATATTATATAGCCACAAACAGGTCACTCTCAGCTTAGACTTATGAAAGTGATAGAACAAAGCACAAATACAGTCAATGAAGATCATAATTAACACAACATAAATTAACTATTACAAAAAGAAACAAATGTAAGGAAACAAATTATGAAATAAGTTTTAATTATTTACACTGCAAATGGTATTTCACTTAACTTAAAATGAATGATGATCAGACAGAGATTCAAGATGGTGGGGTGAGAGGTGAGACAGAGAATTCCTCCCCAAACCATGAATAGTATGAAAATATAGTTAATTAATACAACTAATGCTAAAACAGCAACAGGAAAGGCGGCTGCACAAGACTGCATACAGACCTCACGAACAGAGCAGACCTCACAAAACAGGGTAATGTACCAAAGCCTGGATCTGGTGGGACCCAAGCCCTTCCCCCACCCCAGCTCACCGGGTGGGAGGAAGAGAAATGGAGCGGGGAGAGGATGGAAGCCTGGGACTGCTAAACACCCAGCCCTGGAGATCTGCTTTGCAAGCAGAAACCTACATTGTGTGGTACTCTGGAAGTTCGGGAGCTAGGACAGGCGGAGTGCTTGAGAGACTGAGATTCCGGCCGTTTGTGGAAGACGGGATACACATCAGGCTGCTCTGTGACAGAGGAAAGGCAGGCGGTCTGAGAGGGTTCCTAGCAGCGAGAGGGCTGTTGAAGGGGTGGGATTTGCATGGAGCTGGCTGTGTGGGGGAAGGGAGAGCTGGACAAGCTTGTCTGAGTGCACTCTGCCAAGCAGGTTGGGAACTTTCAGGAGCTTCAGGTGGTCCATTCCCCTGGACGGCTGCCCAGCTCCAAGGCCCCACAGAGTGACAAGCAACCTGCCGAGCCTTCCTCCTAGCCTGCTGGCACTGGCTCGCAAACCAGCAGTCACTGCTCTGCGTCAGGTCAGCCAGAGGGAGGCACCGCCTACAACAGCTAGAGATGCCAAGCACAGAGGCTCACACCTGTGTGCTCAGCCCACTGGCTCTGATACTGGAGACAGGCACTGCAGATGGAAATCAGGAAACAGATCTTTCCTCCCCTCAGGCACCAGCTCCGCTACCCTATGACCCCCAACCTCACTTTAGGGGCTTAGGAGCTCCAGAGACTGGAGCTTCTGGGCACTAGAGGGTACCACATAGAAATATGAAATGTCAAAAGAACATGGTTCAGATCAAAATCTCATAAACCCTATAAAAAGGGCCAAATGAAACTGAACTCACCAATCTTCCTGAAAGAGAGTTTAAAATAAAAATCATAAACATGCTTATGGAGGCACAAAAAATATTCAAGAACTCAGGAATGAATTTAAGATGGAGATTCAATCATTAAGAAATTCCGTATCTGTAATGAAGCATACAATGGAAGGATTTAAAGGCAGATTAGATTTGGTCGATGACACGGTAAATGGGATAGAAATTAGAGAAGAGGAATACAAAGAAGCTGAGGCACAGAGAGAAAAAAGAATCTCTAAGAATGAAAGAATATTGAGAGAACTCCGTGACCAATACAAACGGAACAGTATTTGCATTATAGGGGTACAAGAAGAAGAGAGAGAAAAAGGGATAGGAAGTGTCATTGAGGAGGTAATTGCTGAAAAATTCCCCACTCTGGGGAAGTAGATAGTCTCTCAAGTCATGGAAGTGCCCAGATCTCCCAACACAAGGGACCCAGGAAGACAACATCAAGACATAATAATTAAAATGGCAAAGATCAAAGATAAAGACAGACTTCTAAAAATAGCTAGAGAGAGAAAAAAGATCACATACAAAGGAAAACCCATCAGGCTAAACAGATGTCACCTAAGGGATAGACAAAGAGTACAGAATATGATTCACAACATACAAAGAATGGAGGCATAAGAAAAAGAAAAAGGAAAAAAAAAAAGAACCTTTAGGGTGTGTTTGTAATAGCATATGAAGTGCATTAAATTAGACTGTTAGATAGTAAGGGAATTACCCTTGAAACTCTGGTAAAGACAAATCTAAAGCCTTCAATGGCAATAACTACATACCTATTGGTAATCACTCTAAATGTAAATGGTCTGAATGCACCAATCAAAAGACAGAGTCAGTGAATGGATAAAAAAACAACACCCGTCTATATGCTGCTTACAAGAGACTCACTTCAAACCCAAAGACATACACAGACTGAAAGTAAAGGGATGGAAAAAGATATTTCATGCAACGAATAGGGAGAAAAAAGCAGGAGTTGCAGTATTTGTATCAGACAAAACTTCAAAACAAAGAAAGTCACAAGAGACAAAGAAGGACATTACATGATGACAAAAGTATCAGTCCAACAAGAGGATATAAATATTCTAAATATCTATGCACCCAAAACAGGATCACCTGCATATGTGAAAAAAATACTAATAGAATTAAAGGAGGAAATAGAATGCAATGCATTCATTTCAGGAGACTGCAACACACCACTTACTCCAAAGAACAGATCGACCAGACAGAAAATAAGTAAAGAGACAGAGGCACTGAACAACCTATTAGAACATATGGACCTAATGGACACCTACAGAACACTCCACCCAAAAACAACAGGATACACATTCTTCTCAAGTGCACATGGAACATTTTCAAGACTAGATCAGATACTTGGCAACAAAAAGAACCTCAGTAAATTCAAGATTGAATTTATACCAGCCAGATTCTCAGATCACACAGGTATGAAACAAGAAATAAATAACACAAAGAGAATGAAAAAGCCCACAAACACATGGAGGCTTAATAACATGCTCCTAAATAATCAATGGATTAATGACCAAATAAAAACTGAGATTAAGCAATATATGGAGACAAATGACAACAATAATTCAACATGACAGAATCTGTGGGAAGCAGGAAAGGCTGTGCTAAGGGGTAAACATATTGCAATACAGGCCTACCTCAGGAAAGAAGAACAATCCCAAATGAACAGTCTAAACTCACAATAAGTGAAACTAGAAAAGGAAGAATAAATGAGGCCTGAAGTCAGTAGAAGGAGGGACATAATAAAGATTAAAGCAGAAATAAATAAAAGTGAGAAGAATAAAACAATAGAATCAATTAAAGCAGGAGCTGGTTCTTTGAGAAAATAAACAAAATAGATAAACCCATAGCCAGACTTATCAAGAAAAAAAGAGAGTCTACACACACAAACAGAATCAGAAATGAGAACAGAAAAATTACTACGGATACCACAGAAATAAAAAGAATTATGAGAGAACACAATGAAAAATTATATGGTAACAAACTAGATAACCTAGAAGAAATGCACAACTTTCTAGAAAAATACAACCTTCCAATGTTGACCCAGGAAGAAACAGAAAAACTGAATAGACCAATTACCAGCAAAGAAATTGAAGTGGTAATCAAAAAACTACGTAAGAACAAAACTCCTAGACCAGATGGCTTCACTGCTGAATGTTATCAAACATTAGTGAAGACCTAACACCCATCCTCCTTAAAGTTTTCCAAAAAGTAGAAGAGGAGGGAATACTCCCAAACTCATTCCACGAAGCCAACATCACTAGGCAAAGACATCACAAAAAAAGAAAATTACAGACCAATATCCCAAATGAACATAGATGCAAAAATATTCAACGAAAAAATATTAGCAAACCAAATTAAAAAATACATCAAAAAGATCATCCATCATGATCAAGTGTAATTCATCCCAGGGATGCAGGGATGGTACAACATTAGAAAATCCATCATCATCCATCACATCAACAAAAATAAGGACAAAAACCACATGATCATCTCCATAGATGCTGAAAAAGCATTTGACAAAATTCAACATCCATTCATGATAAAATCTCTCAACAAAGTGGGTATAGAGGGCAAGTACCTCAACATAATAAAGGCCATATATGACAAACCCACAGCCAACATTATACTTCACAGCAAGAAAGTTTTTCCTTTAAAATCAGGAACAAGACAAGGATGCCCACTCTCCCCACTTGTATTCAATATAGTTCTAGAGGTCCTTGCCACGATAATCAGACAATACAAAGAAATAAACAGCATGCAGATTGGCAAGGAAGAAGTCAAACTGTCCCTGTTTGCAGATGACATGATGTCGTACATAAAAAACCCTGAAGAATCCACTCCAAAACTACTAGAACTAATATCTGAATTCAGCAAAGTTGCAGGATACAAAATTAATACACAGAAATCGGTTGCATTCCTATGCACTAACAATGAACTAGCAGAAAGAGAAATCAGGAAAATAATTCCATTCACAATTGCATCAAAAAGATAAAATACCTAGAAATAAACCTAACCAAGGAAGTGAAAGACTTATATTCTGAAAAATACAAGATGCTCATGAGAGAAATTAAAGAAGAAAGCAATAAATGGAAATACATCCTGTGCTCATGGATAGGAAGAATTAATATTGTCAAAATGGCCATCCTGCCTAAAGCAATCTAGATTCAATGCAATCCCTATCAAAATACCAACAGCGTTCTTCAATGAACTAGAGCAAAAAGTTCTAAAATTCATATGGAACCACAAAAGACCCCGAATAGCCAAAGCAATCCTGAGAAGGAAGAATAAAGCAGGGGAAATTACACTTCCTGACTTCAAGCTCTACTACAAAGCGACAGTAATAAAGACAATTTGGTACTGGCACAAGAACAGACCCATAGACCAATGCGACAGACTAGAGAGCCTAGACATTAACTGAAGCATATATGGTCAATTAATATATGATAAAGGAGCCATGAATATACAGTGGAGAAATGACAGCCTTTTCAACAGCTGGTGTTGGTAAAACTGGACAGCTACATGTAAGAGAATGAAACTGGATTACTGTCTAACCCCATAAACAAAAG